CCTGAATAATAGTAATAATAATAATAATAATAATAATAATAATAATAATAATAAAACTTATATAGTGCCGATATCAATATTGCTATTTTCATTAACTGTTCTTGACGGTCTAGAACGACTGTTCTGGAATCCAAGCTCCACTGACAAAGACTGGAATCCAGTATCTGGAATGCATGGCTTGGGACTGTCTTACATTCCTTTACATGGGGTGAAACCTGACTGGTCAATGAATTTGCAATGGTATCAGTGTTAGATCTAGGGGAGGGGACCCTACGCCCCTAACTTATTTTTAGGTCATGAACTGAGGCCCACAAGGCCCAACCTCATACCAAGGGTGCTTTTCCCTGGCTTTGGAGGTGGGGCGCCCCACCTCCAAAGCAAGGGAAAAGCGCCCTGGGGATGAGGTTGAACAAGGCCAAGAAAAAACATAAAAAAGACCAGAGGCCCATTTCTCGAAAGTCCCAATAATTAACGGGCCCGGAAGCTGTTGCAGTTTACATTCAAGACAGAGATTTCAATAGTTTTGCAGATCAACATGATAAAACTATTAGTAAACAAAACATAATGGACTGGTTTGCCAGCTAGAACCAGCACCTAGGGTTAGGGGTCTCTAGATTTTGATTGAATATTTAATTTCGGACCTGAAAAGTTACCGGGACTTTCAAGAAATGGGCCCCAGGCCCCTTTTAATCTAACAGACTGGATGAGCAGCCGCACCCACACCCCCCGCTTACTAAAGATCTGGCCCGGGTTGCTCGAAGCATGGTTAGTGCTAACCAGCGTTAAATACCATGGAAACCTATACATTTTGATACCTCTTAACCAACGGTTAGCGCTAACCAGGCTTCGAGCAACCGGCCCCTGATATTAACAACAGTCCCATTCAGTTTTCACAACACTAAAACACACCCCTTGTTCAGGACTACACTCACCCGCCAATCATAACAGTCCACTTACTTTACCATGACATAACTCATGGGTTCAGACAATTTATTTAGCCTGCTTAGCTGCATTTTTGGAGGGGGGCGGGGGGGGGGGGG